TAGCCATCTGTTACAAGGCTTGGATCTTTTGTTTCTCTCCTCTCTTCTTTAATGTAGGCTTGAGTCTATGTTCCATTATAGTGCGTTAACTCTAGTTACTTCTCTACATTCTCCAGCCTGCAGTTTATGTAGCAGAAAGTGTAATAAGTTCAGGAAGTGCAGGGTCTTCATCCAATGGAGCGGAGAACACAGCAGCAATCGCTGCTGGGCTTGCACTCATCTCCGTTGCTGCAGCTTCATCAATACTCCTCCAAGTAGGTAAGAACCCACCTGCGGTGCAGAAGGTAGAATACTCTGGGCCATCACTTAGTTACTATATCAACAAGTTCAAGCCACAAGAGATAATCCAAGCCTCAGTGCCAAGTGTGGTTGAATCTTCCCAGCTAGAAAGCTCTGCGCCAGAACCTTCCCAGATTCAGGTTGAATCAGAGGTTCAGCTGGAACCTTCTGCTAACCGTGTCGGCAATATCTCTTAGGCAGTAAACTTGGTGTAATTTCTGAAGTGTAAAATTTACTAAAAGTTTTTCTTGCACTCAATGTATCTGATTAATTATTAGGATGTATGTGATGATACATCTTCAACAACAAAATGGTATATCACAATACAGAAGATGGAAACATGATTTTGTGATTGCCATTGCCATCGACTCTAGGCCTATGGTATGGGTATGGCATAGACTTAAAACTCAAACTTAATGTCAGATTGTGTCTAACAACACAAACTCATTGACAAATTTAACGTGTCAATGAAACAACATAACAATTGCAAGCTACAAAGTAATATAAAGTACGACAATTAAAATATCTAATGTTGGAGAAAAAATGATTTTTTTTAATTTCTATTTTTTTAAGAAGATAAAGCCACAAGAAACTTAATAACAAAGAAAATAAATAGCACTCAACAAAGAGAAGACGAAGAAATTAGGGGCATAAATTGAAACAAGAAAATAAAAAGAACATAAAACACCAATGACTAAGCAAAGTATTATAACAAAACTCGCCCTTCATATTGTTTGTTCGTTTTGCTGTTGTACTAGTTAGGTAAAGTTTCTCATTGACTTAAAGACCATTCATGATCAATAAGTCAACTTTCTTTTATATTTGAGTGTACCACAGTTATTGGTTAAAAACCTTAACAAACTTGAAAGATGTAATAACTTGCGCCCCAAGCTATTGACTTTTAACAAATGATTGTAAATTTGGGCGAGAAATATCTCCTAAATAAGTTCTTTTTCTGCCTTAGACGAGGGAGCACTTTATAATTTATCTCAATAAAAATTGGGAAGTAAAGCAAAATACACGTATTTTGAAAATGAAACAAATAAGTTCAAGCAGTACTGCCTGAATTGTAAAGCATAATAAAGATTGCCAATTCTTAAGAGGTCTCAGAGATTTGGACTTTCATTTCCTGTAGGAATCACCTTGCCGAATTTATTTCTGATCAGGGTTGACTAGAATTCTTATGGTTGGAGTGAATCTACTTGCACTAGAATTGCACATCAGTACCTTCAACTAATGAAGATTAGTTGGAAATCGATACCAATGACTATATTGCCAGAGCTATAATCAGATTAAGCCATGGAGAGGCTTGGAAAGTGAGCAGAAGTGCGAGTTTGCACCTGTTCAGTTTGATGTGGAAACTGTCTCCATGAGATTAAGACAACACGATGTCTTTGAGTAATTTGTTGAGGTTTTCATATACTGAAAAACTTCAATTCTTCTTGCTTCAACTTGTAAACCAAATTTGTAAGAGAAATTAATCTCTTTGAGTTCTACTTGATTCGTCTGTTCTGAATTGCATTTGCAACAAAAGAAACCTCATTTTCTTCTTAATTGTCTCAGCTTCTTCTAAGTTGGACTGATTCTGTGAGCTTGATTTCTTGTGCTTCTTCTGAGCTGGATTGCTTTTGTAAGCTTGATTGCTGGTGCTTTTTATGAGCTGGACTGCTTCAAAGAAAAGATTGCTTGCTTGCTTTTGGGCTTGAAGGCTTTGAATATCCTATGATCTTTGGTGTTTATCAGTTTGACTGATTGTGTTTGGTGTAGAGATTGATTTGGGTGTTTGGGTGTTTGGTTGTTTGTTTTATTGTTTTGTTGTGTTTTCCAGTTCAAGTACTCTTATATCTATAGGAGAATGTATGATGATGCCTCTTGGATATTTGAAGAATAACAACTGGAAAGTACTCCACTGATCACTAATGGATAAGTGATAAGGAAGTAATAATTCTCTTGTTTTGGACTAATCTTCTTCAATGCCAAAAGTAACAAAGATCAACAGCCATTTATGGTGATCACTTTTGGCTCTTTGTCAATTAATTCCCCTAAATGCCTCATGTCCGTTCTTTGTAAATTGGATTGTAGTGAACCAAGGATCAATAACCAAGACTTCTTTATCTTTGAATACATGATTATCCTGCTAATGAAACCACGTAGATGTCAATAGAAGTAACGTGTAATACCCCGAAAATAATTAAAAGTGGACTTTCATATTTCAGTTATAAAATAATAATAATAATAATAATATTATGGTGAAGAATAATTATGGGTATTATCAAGTGATTTTGGACTGAGACTATTGGATTAAGTGTGTTTAATTTCAAGTTGGACAAAAATGCTCTTATATAACATTTTGTGAATTTTTCGAAGGACATTTAAGACAATGAGGTGAGACCATTATGACTCTTAGTTAGTACGATAGTAGTCGACTTAACGAACACGTAGGAAATCATTTTTGAAGACCAAAATACCCTTATGTGTGAAAATTACCAAAATACCCTTGTAGGAAAAAAAGAGAGAGAAATGAATCTGATTTCTTTTAGAGCTAAGAGAGAGAGAGAGAGAGAGAGAGAGTGAGTGAGAAGAAATACTTAGTTTTGCAACGTGTAGGAAAACCCCCTCGCCCTTCATTCATCTTCCCTTCCTTATTACCTTCTCTTTCAAAATCCGATTTTGATCTCAATTAGGGGTGAGTTGTTCACCTATTAGAGATGAATCACCAGTCTAGGCTAAGTATAATGATTGCTTAAGTTAAGATAATATTGTAGGATGAAAGAGATGGAAGTTGGGTGAGGAAGAGAAGGTAGAATAGGAGGAAGAAAGGAAAAAAAATCTCTAAGGTGAGTCAAATTTCGAATTTGTGATTTTTAACTTTGTGTTTATGTGATTCTAGTCCCTTAAAGAGTACTTTGAGTCACCTGAATGATAGGGAAATTGAATTGGAAGAGTTTGAACTTCCATTTTCGAGTTGGGTAGATATAGCAATTTTTCAAGTATGGGTGTTTATGATTTTGGTTCCATTTTGAGTTTTTGATGTGTTCTAACGATAAGTATGAACTTTATAAGAGTTTAGAAGCCCTATGAACAACTCGGGAGTAGAACCAAATCTGGAAATCTGCAGTCCACGAGCTTCACTTTGGCTCACTTTTAATCCTAATCCTTTGAGTGTTTGAGGAAGCCATTTGTCGGGTTTTAAACTAGACTTGGCAAGGAACAAAACACAATTGGTCTGTTGAATTTTGTTGAATTTTGATACATCAAACACATGTGCAAAGTTTGGACAAAAATATGTTTTATGCATAAAACCAGCCACGAGCCCAACTTTGGAGCTGTTGTTCTCCTTCGTTTTAGCTCTTTAAAACCACTGCAAGTTTCCCTAATTTCATTAACTTTTGGTTCGTCACAAAGTCTGGGTTTAAGTATAGAAAAACAGGGGGAATTTGCAATTTTTTTTAAAAAAAGATGATGAAAAGTAACTGCAGCCAAGCCCACTCACATCTTCGGGTGAAAACATGTGGCGGATGTTTCGATAGCCTTTGACACTATATTTTTAGTCCATTCGACTCGATTTCTCAATCCGAGTATGATGGTATATGTTTTGAGTCAATCTGAAGTTGTGTGTCGATGCAGATTTTGTTTAAATTATCGGTTGTTGTGGGGCCTACGGGACCCAAATGGTAAATTTTGGATAACGGGTGTCATTGGCCTTGTTTCGGTGTTAACAGGGCATAGGACACAGTTTAATATTATTTTGGGCAAGATTTGGCCGCTTTGGGCCCTGGGTTGGTCCTAGGGGTATTTTCGTCATTTTCACACAGAATCTTTGAAATGTGTATGGTTGAGGCGTTAAGTTGAGGTTTACTGGTCTTAGGTGAAATAGAGTGAAGACTGCTTAATAATAATTTGAATTTGAATTTGTTTAGGAATTAAATCAAAAGTGTAGATTCGACAACTTTGAGAACTTTCGAAGGTAAATTTGGTACTTTAGCTAGCTGGATATGAGGTCTGGTGTCTTGATTTCCTGATGATTGGGCTATGTCACTTTTAATCTTGGTGCTTATATATAGCACTATAAACATGAATATTATTGTTGCGTTGCTCAGTGAATATTATTTGATGTTATGTGAATATTATTATTGATGTTTCTCCATGGATGTTATTTGACGTTGGGTGAATATTATTATTCATGTGATTAAGCCTGGAATATTATTGTTATTATCAGTATTATTATTCCATAGAGATAAATGATGTTGTGCTAGATTACATATGTGTCATAAATACAATGGTGTTTAGGGTGTGTGTGTCTTTTGAGGTATATCAAAGGGGTGGGAGACGACCTTACATATATATGAGTAAAAATGTGTAATATATTTAGGTGACTGGAGTAGGCTTTGAATATATTGAGGTGATGGAAGCAGGTTCTCTAATGGAAAGTGAAAGTTGAGAAATTCGTAAACAAAAGAAAAATGGGTTAAAGGACGGATGGGCACTAGTTCATATTTTAGGATATTCAGAGCCACAATGATGAAATGCATGGTATGGGACATGCAGGCTTGTTGCCCTAAGGTATGAATTAGTGGAATTAGAAGGGAGTGAGTTCATGGCATCACCGCATATGCAAATTTATTTACATATGCAAATTTATTTATCTGGTTGGTTACAAAATTTATGTATCTTGTGTTGTTTGATACATGACACTTTGATTAACTGTGATAGTTGACCTTGAGTGGTTTGACGATACTCTACTGGGCATTAGAATGTTCGTACCCTAATAGATTGTGCAGGATTCAAAGCAAAGTTTGAGAAAGTGGGTTTCAACCAAGCTACTAGGCATTTGTTGTTGATTTGTGTAATTAATATTTGTTAGTAGTCAACAGTTTGATAAAAATCTTAGTGTGCATTTAACTACGAGCTACTACAACTTTGATTCTGTATTGTTAAGTAAATTTGTATGATTTATGACTCTATTTCTCATCATATCATGGTTGTAGAATTTTATTCTTATGACTATGATATGACTCATATCCTGAATCGGAAATATTCCTTATTCTCGAATCGAGTCGTGACAAAGTGTATCAGAGCCCAGGTATTAGATTCTTTGGGTAGAACTTGTGAAGTTGTGCAAAGGAACTGGAAATAGGCTTGAATTTTAGAGTTGTAACAATATAGGTTTTGAGGGTCTTTATAAATTTTTGAGGAAAATCCAGTAATCGTTAGTACACAAGTACGTTTAAAATTAGATCGGTTATTGATGTATGCAAGTACTTCTATTTCAGGAAAAGCGATCGTTAGCTATTTATAGATTTATGTATTATGGTTATGAATATGCCCGAGGTTTTCTAGTTTTAAAATT